GGTGGGGGTGCTGGGGGGTGCTCCTGGGTCCCATGGGGGCTTTGGAGCCAGCTCTATCCCCCTGGGGGTGGAGGGGTTGCTGATTTGGGAGGATTTGTGCTTGTTTGCATTTGTGGGCTTGATGTGAGGGTCCTTTTGCTGTTCATGCTGCTGTGGGGTGGGATGGTGTCTGTGCATCCAGCATGGGCTGTGTCTGCAGCCAGGGGGACTTAATCTCCCCTTGGTGGGTCAGGGCCACCCACACCCCTCCACTGCAGCCCTGCACCTCCTCTTTCCAGTGGAAGATGATGCCAAGTGTGAGGAAATGGCCTGGAAGGAAGATGCTGGTGATGAAGATGATGCTAGAGCATCCTAGAGTGCAGCCTGGAGGAGGCTTCGTGGTGCTGGGAGTGGAGCTGGGGTGGTGGTGGTGGTGGGGATGCCCTGCACCAGGAGCTGCAATGGGATGGGTCCTTGCAGGGGGACACAAAGTGGCTTTGGATGTCACCCTTTGACTCCTCTTCCTACCCTTTCCATTCCTACCCTGCTCCCAGAAATGCTCTTTTTGCCTCTTATTGCAATAGCAATGGGGAAGTGCAAATACCCTGGAGTTAGTCTGGATGATGCTCTGGTCCTCCTGTGCCTGCCTGCTCTCAGGAAAATGTATTAATGTGTGCAATAGCTGTGATGCTGTGGGTCACTTCAATGCACTCTGTCTCAGGGCTCAGCCACCCCTCACAGGGATGCTCTGAGGTGCCCATGCTCCCCTGTGCAGTCCCAGAATCGGAGACCCTGTGAGCTCCCTGCCGAGGGTCCTTCTGCTCCCATAGGAATTGCTGTTTGGGTCAACAGGACAAAGTTGTGTTGCGGTCTTCATGGCAGCCCGGGAAATGCAGCCCAAAGCTGCTTGGAACAAGCAGCCACTGAAATAATTTAATTAAAACTCCTAACAGAGAAGATTGCCCAAATCCATTATATGTGTGGTACTAGCTGGCAGCGAGGTTGGCTTTAAAGAGAAGCCCTGAATCTGCAGATGAGGTGGGCTGGGGAGGGAGCACTCGGGTGTTTTCTCCTATTTTCCCCACTTATAATAGAAAAGCCGGGGGCTGAGCTGATTGGCGCGGGGGGGAGATTGCCGTCATCAGCCGTAATGGCCGGAGATGGGGCTGGCGAGACCAGCAGCGGGCCCTGATGGGCTCAGCCTGGCAGCGGGGACAGGAGGGGACACAAGGGACAGGAGCGCGGGGCTATCGCACGCAGCCTTCGCTTCGGGAAGGGCTTTCTCGGGCATCACCTCACACCAGGCAAGTGCTCACCCCCAGCCCCTTCCCCAGGGTTTGAGGTGACCCCTGGGATGGCGGGAGAAGTGACCCCTGGGCACAGCCCAGGGCTAGGGAAGGGGAGGAGGGGGAGAACAAAACTGTAATGAGCAATTAACTCTGTCAGCCCTTCCCTGCCCTCACCTCGCTGCCTGGGCTACTTCTGGAGAGCAGATCTGAGCCGCAGCCGTTGCGTTTCTCCCTGAAATGGGTGATTCTGGGTTATTTTCCCTGCTGGGAGCAGCTCAGTGTGCCCGTGCATTGCCTGGGGGGTGCAGGCTCTCCCTTGCACCCTGCTGCTGGGGTTGAAGGTGCTGCGGTGGGGTCCTGGGGGTGGTGCAGCCCCATCCCAGAGTTTTCTGCTGGCGCTGGGTGCAGGCAGGGGTGCAATAGGAATAAAGGCTGAAGAATTCATTGCCCCTCATTCCTCGGGTGAGAATGAAACGCACTGTTAGTTGGAAAGCTTGAGCGCCGGCAGCTTCACCAAGGCATCCATGGGGGCAGATTAAGCCCCATAAAGAAATCCAGGAAGAAAAGAGCCACAAAGCGGATTAAGGTCAGCGCTGGTGAATTTGCAGAGTGGCCCCTTTGACTCCCTGTGTGTGTCAGGGGAGCGCCCAACAGCCAAGTGCATGAGCAGCCGGTGTGCTGAGACGCCCCCTGGGTACCCCAAAACTACCCAGTGGGTGTGTGGGGACAGAGCTGTCCTCCTGCAGCAGCCACAATCCCCTTGCTGGAGCCTGGTCTGCAGGACGGGATGCACAGCCCTGTGCCATGGGACCCTGGAGAGCCCCAGCAGTGGGAGGATGGGTGCATGGGGGATGCTCCGTGCCCCTTTCCACAGCCCTGGCCCCATCCTGCATCTCCTGGCGGGCTTTGGTATAACCATGGCAACTGCCAGGTAATTAATGGCACAGTCCCAATGCCATGGAGACAAAACCGGGCACAAATGGAGTGTGTGGACACAGCGCTGCACAGAGGGTCCTGGGCAGGATGTGTCCCTGTGGCCAGCACCAAAACGGGCAGAGACATCCCCTCCTTCATGCGGGGCAATGGGCATGGTGGTCCTGGGCGCTCAGGAGCCCTTTTTGGGTGGCTTTGCTGGGTGCTGTGCAGCTCCAGCTGTGTGTGTGTCCTCCAGATGTTCACAGTCCCACCTCGAAGCCCAGGGGAGCTGTAAGGGACTCGCAGGGAGCCGAAATGTCTGTGCCTTCCACTGCTCTCCCATGCCTCGCCTGCCTTTTGGCAGGAGCAAATTCCAATTAAGGGATGCAGGAAT